ATGGGATTTGCCACATTTCTGAAATCCGGTGCCACCCCTCACGCAGATCCGCGGGGTCAGGGTCCAAAAACACAAGGGATTTGCCACATTTCTGAAATTCAGTGCCACCCCTCACGCAGATCCGCGGGGTCAGGGTCCAAAAACACATGGGATTTGCCACATTTCTGAAATTCGGTGCCACCCCTCACGCAGATCCGCGGGGTCAGGGTCCAAAAACAAATGGGATTTGCCACATTTCTGAAATTCGGTGCCACCCTTCACGCACATCCATCGCAAGGCGTGGTAACCCAAACTGCGAGAAGTCCCTCGGCCCTTTTAATCGCAAGGTGTGGTAACCAAGCCCGTAAACCATACACGTCTTACCAATCGCCAGGTGTGGTAACCCCTCTTGTGATCAGTTTGTTTTGCTGATTGCGAATCGGCTTCGCATGAAGTTTCGATACTGCTTCACGACAGCGCCAAGGCCTCATGACTTAGCTCTTCCATGGCCCATTCTCCGAGAGAGGGGGCCGGCGGCAGGGGGCGAAGCCCTTACGGATAAAAGAATACCCCCATATTTTCCCATATGTTCTGGGTTTCTGTCTTCCCGCCCACTTCCCATCTTTTCCCATATTTTCTGGGAAATCGAAGATTAATGGTGTCTGTGTGCTTCTTTTCTTCCTGATTTATACACCGCTGTTTTTTCCGGTCCCGCACTGAAATTCGCACATGAAACAGGATTCTGGTGTGTACGGCATCCTGGTGTATACATGTTTCGTTGCTTCCACGGGAAAGTGGGCAAAAACGTGTACACCACACCACCCCGACGTCGCCCCCGACCCTCAAGCATTCCCGGGATTCCAGAAAAGCCCGCCACTGGCAACGTCTATGCTCCAGTCTCCGATGGTGGGCCGACGCACGGTGGGCCGACGCTGACCAAAAGTTCCCTCCACTGCGGGGCGTCCTGGGTTCGGCGGTGGACAAACCTCCCTTCAGTAGACCTCCCCTCAGTGAAAACGGCCTGGGACCGAAACCGACGGACCTGGACCCGCAAACATGACGGCCGCGACGCCCTCTCGCGAGCCGAAAACGGCCGATTCCTTAATCGACGTGTCGGGGTAGGAGGTCTGTCCACCCCCGACCTGGGTGCCTCTTCGGCCGCCTCTTCCTAGGCGTCTTGGGGCCGCTCCGGGGAGCTGTGGGGGCCACGGGCCCAGGCCTCCGCCGAGCCGGGTGCACCCTCGGTTGGCTGGCCCCCGGGAGGGAGTTCTCGACTCCTTCCCCGGGGCTGTACGCCGGTCGGAAGAAGCGGGTAGCACCGTGAAGCAGGAAGGCGTTGAAGTGGGTTGGACTTCCGCCCACCCCCTGAAGCGGAGGAAAGAAGGAACACCGCTCGACTCTTGGAGCAGGAAGGCGCCTGAAGTAGAGTAGGATTGGGGCGTCCAAAAATACCTACTTTCAACGACCGATGTAGAAACATGAAGTAGGAAGGCGGATGTAGTGGATTGGGTCCAGGCCCTCCCAGAGAATAAGAAAACACAGCTAACGCACGCCGATCCTGGACAGAGGAAGGCGCTGGAGGTAGATTGGGATCTGGGGATTCCCCACATACCTCGCTTTTGACCACCCTCGCTTCCAAGAGATACCAAACGATGCCAAATTGAAGCCTGTACTGGTCAGGCCGCTTGACGAGGAGGCGCGTGGTATGACTTGGTTTTGTCTGGAAGCGAAAGCGGGGGAGGTAATTCACGCTCTGAGAACCAGGATGAATCGGGGTTCTCCGAGATCTGGCGTCTCCAGATGGTGTGCCGGGCGCCGCGGCCGTTCGAGAGCTGGAGCGACACAGTGTGTGGTCTGGGCCCGCCCGGACGGGTGCTCCTCCGGACCAATTTTGGGGGGGAAGGCCACCGGGGGCCCGCCGGGCGCCGAAAAAGCGCGGACAGGCCACCTTTGGCGCTGCTTTCCCGAGCCGCGCCGCCAGAAGTTTTTTGGAGGGCAGACAAACAAAAGGCGGGGCTTGGGGGTGGGGCCCCGGCAGGGGAAGGGAAAAAGCAGTGGCTTGAAATCGGCGATGCGTCGCCGAGGCATCGGCGAGAGGCCCTCGGCATCGAACCCCCACGCTCATGAGCGGGGTGGGGCACCTGGGCTTCGATTGGCGCAAGGAACGGGTGATTAGGGCTCGAGGCCCCCCCCACCGCTTGTCCCCCGACTCTGGGGGGAGGGTGGCATTTTTTGTTGTTGAACATTATTTATTCTAAAGAATAATTATTGTTGGGCCCCCTGGTGCGCGCCCCCCCTGCGCCGCCTAGGCCGCAGCTACATTTTCATCATTTTCGTGAGGAAGCCTCAGAAAAGAGGGTGTGTACAGGATCCGGTTGTTTTGTTGTAGTCCGCTTTCCCTTGCAAAAAAACAATAGAAAATGACATTTCTTGTTCTAACATAACCAAATTTCGAGAATCCCTTGCAAAAAATAAGGTAAAGTGGACATTCGCGCGCGTAAGACGAAATCCTTCCAAAACCTTAGTTTTCGTAGCGATTTTAACATAAAAACATAAAAAAACCAATGTTTTTTTTCAAAAACATCTTGTCAACATTTCATCCCGCGCGCTCTTGCGGATTCGTAGGAAACCCAACACTTTTTAATCATTTCTGTCAAACGGGCTTTTGCGAGCAACTTTTTCGAACTTCTGCAACAACGGTTGCGCACCTGCCAGGGCCATCATCCCTGTCAAATAATACCATGCGGGACACATTCGTTTTTTCTTCGCGCGCGCACGCCGTCGTCGTCGGCCGCGGGGCCCTGAATAGTAGCCACGGTCGTCCGCATGCCACGAAGTGAAGTGTCCGAACGTCATAGGGCGGGAAGCTGGGTGTGGGTGGTGGCGAAGAGTCGTTTGGAAATTTGGTAGAGCTTGAACCGGCCCCCCCACAAAGTGGGGGTATTGCCCGCCTCCTATGAAAACCCTGGCACTGGTGAGAACGGTGTGTCCCCACGTGCTAGTAATTGTTGTTGTTGTTGTTGTTGTTGTTGTTGTTGTTGTTGTTGTTGTTGTTGTTGTTGTTGTTGTATGCCAGGCTATGCGATCTGCACATTCTATGTCGGAGGCAAGGGGAGAACTCCAGCAGTACTATATGAACGTTGCACCTCACGTGAACTGCCTTGAATAACAATATCCGATCAGACGGGGGACTCCGTGCCAATGGTCAAAAGGGAAGAGGCCTGAGCGCAGCTTCGTGTGGACACAGTGGCTCCACTCTGTTAACCCATCGAAGGACAACGGCGGATCAATAACGCACGTGCAGGTAGTGGTGGGGGGCAATCTTGGAGGGGCCTCCTGGGGTCCGTCTTGGGCCCCCTCTGGGCCAGTTTCTCCGTCGGCGCCCTGGAGCCTGGGGGGCAATCTTTCAAGGGCCTCCTGGAGGACAGGCATTTCATCCCGAGTCATTGGCCGGGTTAAGGGCCCCAAGCGAGCAAGAAGCTGTGCAATTCACTTGGTGCCGGCGAGAAGGTGAAACAGAGATGATTGGGTGTGCGCAGCACGGCAACGGCGGTGAGGGCCCCCGGAGGGCCCTCAGAAGCCGAAAGCAAGGAACAAATCCATCGTGCCCTGAGACCCGACGTTGCGAAACAAAGTCAACCTTGCGAGACATCGCAACCGGAGCCCTAAACCATGCATTTATCTGCGCCACTCTTCCAGCGGGATCGATGTGTGATGGCCCCAGGGCTCGAAACCAGGCGACCATGCCCAGTGTGACAAAAAATTGACACATGGGTGGAAGGGTCATGAGTTGTTCTTTGTCACGACTCGAGCCCGACCATGCGACGCCCAGGTTGCTTCAATACGCGGCCCCAGGAAGTCCCGAGGCAGCTGCCGTCGTCCGAAGAGGCACGCGCTGCCGAGAGCTGCCGCCGTCCGAAGAAGACCGTAGCTACTGCAGACCTGGTCCAGTGCTCCTGGCAAATCTCTGGGCTTTGGGGCCTGGCTCCCCCGGAGGCCTCCTAGATGGGGTCCGACTAGATGGGGTCGGAGGATCTCGCCGCATCGCCGATGCATCGGCGATGCACTTGCGATGCATCGGCGACGTGGGCGATGCATCGGCGACGCCGACGTGGAGGAAATCGGGCTCCACATCGAGCCGCATCGCCGACGCATCGCCGATGCGACGCCATCCTCCGTGGGGGGAAAAAGGCGCCCTTTTCGGCCCCTTCTGGGTCCGAAGGGGCTCCTTTAGGGGCCCTGCAGGGCTCCTGTTCGGCAGCCCTCGCGGCCTCCCTATTGACCGCTCCCACATTACGCGGTTTTCTCGGACCCCATTCGGGGATCTGTTGACCCGGGTCAATCCAGACCCCGGTCAATCTGGCCTTGCAGAATCCTGCAAGATCCTACACCCAAGCCCGGGCCAATGCGAAGTGTCCTGCAAGATCCTGCAGGATCCTGCACCCAAGCCCGGGCCGATGCGACCCTGGCCCTGCAAGATCCTGCAAGATCGGGGCGCTCTGGCCGACCCCCGTTTGCAGTGACCCCCCCCGTCTCGAGGCGCCCCACCCATCTGGGAGGCCTGGATCCCCTCCGCCGGGGTCCTGGCTGTGTCTGCACGCTGCCTGCCCAGAGATCCGACGTCGTGATTTTTTCAATGCGCGGCCCCCCGAAGTCTCGACCCATTCCCCAGGACCCGTTTTTCGTCCCGAGTCGTTTTTTGACGTTCCCTGGGCCTGGCGAGGGCCCATAGTAGGGGAACACAAAGTGACATAAACATTAAAACTCGGAGGTCCGCGCGGATTTCTCGGATCGGCGCTGGGGCCGATCCGAGAAGTCCGCGCGGACCTTCGAGTCTTTATGTTTACGTATGCCACTTTTCGTTCCCCTACCTAGAAGCCGAAAATCAAGAAACACCTCCGTCTTGATTTTGTCAGTGGGTTGGAGGCCTGCCTGTCCTGGAGGGGGCCCGCCGAGTGGGCCCGCCCCCTGCGCGCCCGCCATCTGCGGCCCTCGCCGCCGCGCCCGCCCCCCCTGCTGGCCTCAGCGGGTCCAGCCGGAGGAACGGCGCCGCCTCCCGCGGGGGCTCGGCGGCCAGGGCCTGTCCGATGGGGGGGAGGGAGGGAGGAGGGAGGAGGGAGGAGGGGGGGGAGGGAGGAGGGGGAGGAGGAGGAGGAGGAGGAGGAGGAGGAGGAGGAGGAGGAGGAGGAGGAGGAGGAGGAGGAGGAGGAGGAGGCGGCGGAGGAGGAGGAGTAGGAGGAGGAGGAGGAGGAGGCGGAGGAGGAGGAGGAGGAGGAGGAGGAGGAGGAGGAGCTTGCGGGACATCTGTGGCCGTTTTCGGCCTCCGGGGGGCCCTTGCCCGGCTCCGCGGCTGCCCGGGCTGGAAAGCCGGCCCCGGGGGCAGGGCCAGGACTTCTGAGGACCGCGCGCGCGGAACAGCCAGACACCGCGTGTCTGAGCTCTGATCTCCCCAGTGCCTCGCGCCAGAACGGGGTGCGCGACCCTGCAGGCCCGCCCGCCCGCCCGCCCGCCCCCCCCCAAGCTTCAGGGGGGCACCCTGCACTGAGACACCAGGCGGCCCCAAGCACGCAGACGACAGGGCGAACCCGGGAGGGGGGAATGGCGCATGGCTCTCTGCACGGGGCGCGGGAGAGGGCAGGCATGCCGGCAACAGCAGCAGTGCATATGCGGTATACCGATCCACGTATGCCTACCTGTCCACGTGTGCGTCCAGGGGGGACGGGAGGACGCGCAACAGCGGGAGGGCGCACATGCTGCAGGGCCCTGGCGCCGCGGCCTTTTCCAGGTCTGGGCCGGCCGTTTCTCGACCTCGGGCCTCGCGTGCTCGAATCAGGCGAGCCCCGGGGGGCCGGGGGAGGCGAGCCAGGCCGAGGGCCCCGGCATCTGGCGCCTTTGCCCGCCACAGGACCGAAGGCACGGGAGCGTCCTCAGGTCCCTTCGGGCCCTCAGTGCGGAGTGCCGCAGACACCTCCTGTAGGGCCCCAAGTTTCAGACTCCTGGGGCTCTTCTGCGTCCCCGGGCGCTTCTCAGCGCTCCTGGGCCTTGGGCCGTGACTCTTCCCGAGGCTCTGGGCGCGTGGTTGGGAGCCCGCTCTTCCACGCGCCATTCCAAAGGCTCCAGAGGTTCACGCTGGCGCACTCCTGGGGGGCTGCCTGGGGCCGTCAAGCCGGAGTCTAGGAAGTCCTAATCATTGAAAAATGCATGTTTAAAATGTCTGCATTCTCGGCTTTTCTTTCGGTAGAAACCAGAATCGCCCCAAGAGGCCGTTAAGGTGGCTCCAAGATGGCCCTGAAGCCCTCAAGACGGGCCCATGCTTCCGAGACCGCCAGCAGGCCCCCAGGAGACGCCCGAGAAGCTCGAGGCCCCTAGGGGGCAAAAAAGTTGCCCCAAAGATGCCTCCAGACATACCCTAGGCGGCCTCTCAGAAGCCTACGACCCAGGCGCGATGGCGGGTTGGACCGCAGACAACTGGATCCGCCGCCCCCAGTTGCTTGAAAAGGGAGACTGTATCCCTTTTCAAGCATCGCGAAGAGCATCCCACAACGCCAACGGAAAAACTCGCAACAACGACATCGAGCAAAAAGTACGCAATCCGGAACATGACCAAAATTCACCAAAGTTTCGTTTGGAGTCCTGTTCAGCCCGAGGATATACGGTGTGCTGAGTGCTAACAGACCCGTTGGGCCCTGCAGGAAATGTTGCCACTGGCGTCCGGCAGAACCCGCCGTCCGCCCAGAAGAACAGGAGCAGGTGGAAGGCAATGGCCCTTTCTGCCCAGTATGGCTTCCATAGAGCCTCCAAGGCGGCCAAGTTGGCCTCCAAGATGCCACCAAGACGGTCCAATATGATTCCAACACGGCCCACGATGCCCTCCAGACGACAAGAGGCTCCAAAGACGCCCCAAGAGGGATCCAAGAACAACTTCCGAGGGGCCCAAATCATTTATTTCCCATTCGGGCGTCCGACAGCCTGAGACGGCCCCAGAGGTCTCGAACATACCCGCAAGACGGCCCCAGACGCCGCTGTGGCACTCTCATGAGAATCACTTTCCAATGTTGACGAATGAAATCAGAAGGGGATCCACGACTATGGTGATGATGCGGAGGACGACGATCAACAGTAGCTCAGGAGGGGTACGAGGGGATGATGATAATGCTGATGATGATGATGCTGATGATGCTGCTGCTGCTGATGATGACGCTAATTGTGATGGTGATGATGCTGATGATGGCGATGGTGCTGATGACGATGACGATGACGATGGGGATAATGATACTCATGTTGCTGCTGATGATGCTGATAAATATAATGATGTTGATGATGATGCTGCTGCTGATGACGCTGATGATGGTGTGATGCTGATGCCGATTATGATCAGAATGATGCTAACGATGGTGATGCTGATGATGACGATGATGCTAATGATGATGATGATGCTGATGATGATGATGATGCTGATGATGATGATGATGATGCTGATGCTGATGATAATGATGCAGGTGATGGTGGTGATCATTTGCTGTTGATGATGGTCATGATGATGGTTGTGATGAGGATGACGATGAGGATGGCGATGGCGATGGTGGTGGTGGTGGTGATGATGATGGTGGTTGTGATGATGCCGATGATGATCATGGTCATGGTCATGGTCACGATGACGACGACGACGGTGATCACGATGAGGATGATGATGATGATGATGATGATGATGATGATGCTGATGCTGATGCTGATGACGATGACGATGATGATGATGATGATGATGCTGATGATGATGATGATGATGATTATGATGATTATGATGATGATGATGATGATGATGATGATTATGCAGGTGATGGTGTTGATCATTTGCTGTTGATGGTCATGATGATGGTTGTGATGAGGATGACGATGAGGATGGCGATGGCGATGGTGGTGGTGGTGATGATGATGATGGTTGTGATGATGCCGATGATGATCATGGTCATGGTCATGGTCACGATGACGACGACGACGGTGATCAAGATGAGGATGATGATGATGATGATGATGATGATGATGATGATGCTGATGATGATGATGAGGATGATGCGTATGATGATGGTGAACACAGCGAGCAAGAGAAGCGCGGGGCAGGGACGTAGAGAGGGGAATGGTGCAGAGCATCGACGGCGAGCAAGTGACGATGATGAGGAGGCAAGGGTTGCGAGGGGAAGATAAGGAAGGAGTCGACGTAGCCTGAGGGCGAGTCCGGGTGCAACCTACGCACGGAGCGCAAGCCGTGCGGCACCTGTGACCCGCGTGGCGGATGCGTATGTATGGTGTGAGGAGAGGGGCACTATATCTTTCGATTTGTGGTAAATATGAAAAGCGAGTGCCAAGGCCTCAACAGCCTGGAGGCGAGATATTTCGCAATCCTCCGTGCCGTACTCCGTGGAACTCCCGAGGCCAAGCCAGAGCAAAGGATCCACAGGAAAGACGAGCCGCGACCAGCTGAGGGCGACGTGGTGCCGGAGCGGCATACACTGGAGGTAATGCGAGATCTCGTCTCGGCCCCCGCACCCAAAAATGCAATCTCGGGAATGCGGCGAGACGTGCATTCTGCAGCTGGTGGTCCAGCCTCCTGAAAGCGTTTTTAGGACAGCCCATCTCCAGCTCGGCCGCACTTGCCGGAGACAAGCTTTCAGAAGGGACCATCGTTCCGCGAGGTTGGGGGGGCGAACGAAGGACCAGGCATCGAGGCGGCGTCCGATTGTCTGGTGAAAACGGTCGGGATACAGTGCAACCGACACCGCAGAGCCGATCACGCGCTGTAGCTTAGGCTTGCGTCCCTCTTCAGCGGCCGCCCGCAGCTCGGCCTGGCCTGTCGCCTTCGTGGCCTCCCACACCCTGAGCGAAAAAGGATAGGAGGAGCGGAACGACCCGTCACGACGACGATGGACGACAGAGGGAGTGGAGACAAGGAAAGAGCGGAAAAACTGGACGATAGCAGTGGGGCGGCTCCAGCACGGCGCACACCACTCCGCATTGGCCCACCGTGGAGCAGAGAGCGCGGGTGTACCGCAGGCACGGTCGGCAGCCTGCTGAAGCGTCTCGAACGCTGGCGCCCAGTCAGCGACCTTGCGGGCACTCATCCTCCAGGCGGACGCGACGCTGAGCGCCAGCACTAACTTCGGGGCTGTCCCGAGCCACTGGCCAAGCGAGTGCAAGTCCTGGAGGGTGAAGGAATTCGGGGGGAGGCGAAACAACTTGTGGAGAGCCAGCGCCTCCCTCGCGACCACTTTGGGTGACATGGGAAAGAACTGTGCCAAGTATCCTAGGGTGCTAATTGCATACATGTTATACTGGATTGAGAGAAGCTGAGGAGCAGCACGGGAGGATGGAAGGTCGAGGGTACGCTGCCACCATTTCGCACCGGCCTGGGACCACTGGTGTTCGAGATCGGCGGCGGGCCCGAATTGCATGCCGAGGTATGGAGTGGTCCCTTTGATATCAAACTGCTGACACGCCGGGAGATGAGTGTCAAGCCAGGAGCGGACGCGAGCAGACAAAGCTGCTGTGCATTCGGTCCAAAGTGGCACTATGCAGCATTTGCTTTCCTGCAGCCTGAGTAGGGCATGCTGGCGGATCTGCTCGAAATGAGTCATGACGGAAGCAAGCGTGCGAAGTTGAGGAAGGACAATGCCAACATCATCGGCGCACCCGCCTACATCTCCTGGGGTGTCCCCGTGGATTCTCGACGGCCTCAGAAAGCAACCTGACCACAGGGTCAAAAATCAGCGCCCACACAGACCCCGAAAGGGGACACCCCTGGAGGACTCCGCTACATAGATAAAGCATGAAGTGGAACTCGCCATGGAATCTGCCATAGCCTCGGGGATAAAAGTAGAGGGAGCGGAGGAGGTTGAGATATCCCTGAGGGATGCCATGGCGACGCAGAACCTCGAACAGCCACTGGCGTCCCACGGATGGGAACGCGGCAGCTATATCAAAAGCTACGAAGCATGGCCACTTTTTATCAGCACCGATATCGAGGCTATGGGCGCGAGCACTGGCGTCCATGGAGGAGGAGGATGAAGGAGGAGGAGGAGGAGGAGCAGGAGGAGGAGGATGAGGAGAAGGGCGTTGGCCCCCAGGACTCGACCCCACCCACAGGACCAGTCTGTCACCCCACCAAAAGACAGTCTTGGCTCGGGCATGTCCGTCTACAGGTGGAATCTTCAAAGATAGGAGAGAACGCGTTTTACGGGCGCTTGCCTTGGGAACATTCGGCGGCGCTTTCTAACACTCGGCGCCGTCGATCCAAACCAAGGGGACTCCACTCCCCCCCCCGCCCCCCCCCCTCCCAACCCCCCCCCTTCCCCCCTCCTTCCCCCCCCCTCCTCCCCCCTCCCGGGGAGGGGGGCCAAGGGGCCAAGGGGACGGGGGGGGTTTGAACCCCCCCCCTGCGCCGCCGGCGCCGGCCGCCAGCGGCGCCGACGGCGGGGATGCAGCGACGATGACCAAAGGCAGCCCAAAGGGGGGGGGTTCAACACCCCCCCCTTGGCGCCAAGGGGGGGGTGGGGGGGTTCAACCCCCCCCCTTTGGCGCTGGCGCCAGCGCCGGCGTTGGCGGCGGCCAGAAGCGCCAGCGCTGGCGCCGGCGGGGACGCAGCGACGATAACCACCACTACCACCACCACCACTACCACCACCACTTCCGATTCAACCCACCGCCACCACCACCAACCCACCACACAACCACCACCACCACCACAGCCACCACCACCACCAACACCACCACCACCACAACTCACCATCACCACAACCACCACCACAAAAACCCACCACCACTACCACCACTGCCACAATCTACCACGCCACCACCACCACCGCCACAACCACCACCACGAGCAGCAGCCCAACCCACCACCACCACCACAAACCACCACACCACCACCACCGCCACAACCACCACCACCACCACAACCCACCATCACCACCACCACCACCACCACAAAAACTAACCACCACTACCACAACCACCACCGCAATCTACCACACCACCACCGCCACCACCGCCACAACCACTACCACTACCAGCAGCACAACCCACCACCACCACCACCACAAACCACCACGCCACCACCACCACCACCGCCGCCACCACCACCACCAGCAAAACAATCTACCACACCACCAACACCACCGCCACAAATACCACCACTACCAGCAGCACAACCCACCACCACCACCACCACAAACCACCACCCCACCACCACCACCGCCACCACCACCACCACCAGCATCACCTCCACAAACCACCGCCACCACCACAACCCACCACCACCACCACCACAACAAACCACCACCACACCACCACCAAACCACCACCACCACCACAACCCACCACCACCACCACCACCACGACCACCACCACCACCACCACGACCACCACCACCACCACCACCACCACCACCACCGCACACAACAACCACACCACCACCAAACCAGCACCACCACAACCACCACGCACCACCACCACCACCACACACACACCACCACCACCACAACAAACCACCCACCACCACCACACAAACACCACACCGCCACCGCCACCACAACAACAACCCCACCAGCAGCACCACCACCACCACCACCACCACCACCACCACCACCACCACCACCACCACCACCGTCGTCCTCGTCGAAGCTCCCCGCCGCCGCCGCCCGCCGCCGCAGGCGCCGGCGCCGGCCCAGAAAAGGAAATCGTCGTCTCCGCCGCCGCCGCCAGCCGCCGCCGACGCAAGCGCTGGCCCGAGGAGAGGGGGGGGGAAGTCCGGTTCCATGCCCCCCCCCCCCCCTTCCAAGTGACCACAGAACGCGCTCTTTCAAAGATAGCGAAGAATTCGCCGACCCTGTTGGCGTGTGTGGGGTGTCTGTCCGGTCCCGTCGACGGGGAGCCTTCTTTCGTCCCCTCCTTCCCATCCTCCTCTCCCGTCGGGAGAGAAAGAGAGAGAGAGAGAGAGAGAGAGAGAGAGAAAGAGACAAAGAGAGAGAGAGAGAGAGGGAGAGAGAGAAAGATAGCACCCTTCCTCGTTCGGGGAACGGGTTCGCAGCTCGAGGGAATTCCACCCACGTCCTCCTTACGTCACAAGGAAACCCCTTCCCTTTGTCCCTTCCCCGGCGGGGGGTGGGTCCCAGGGAAAGGGGGGGCTTTGGATTCGCATCGCCTCTGGGGGTCCTCCTCTCCCACGCCGGTCCTTCTCTGGCGCGCCGGTCCTCCTCGGGCCCCCCTCCCTGGGTGGGGAGGGGTCCCAGGGGGGGGAGAGGAGTCAGATACGCATCCGTCCCTGGGGGTCCTCCTCCCCCTCCCCTCCCCTCTCCCACGCCGGTCCTCCTCCGGTCTTCCTCCCCAGGGGGCTCTTTCTCCTTCTCCTCCTCCTCCTCCTCTTCCATATCTCCGCCTCCTCCTCCTCGCCCTCCTCCTCCTCCTCCTCCTCCTCTTCTTTTTCTTCTTCTTCTTCTTCTTCTTCTTCTTCTTCTTCTTCCTCCTCCTCCTCCTCCTCCTCCTCCCTCCTCCTCCTCCTCCTCCTCTCTCCTCCTCCTCTCCTCCTCCTCCTCCTCCTCCTCCTCCTCCTCCTCCTCCTCCTCCTCCTCCTCCTCCTCCTCCTCCTCCTCCTCCTCCTCCTCCTCCTCCTCCCTCCTCCTCCTCTCCTCCTCCTCCTCCTCCTCTCCTCCTCCTCCTCCTCCTCCTCCTCCTCCTCCTCCCCCTCCTGGTCGTCGTCGACGCCTTTCAAGGTCGGCGGCACCGGCCGTCAGGCCTTCACAATAATATGGGAACGATTTGTTTGACTCTTTGACTATTTTTGGTGATGTTTTTTTTTTTTTTTTTTTTTTTTTTTTTTTTTGTCATTTTTTGCTTTTCGTCCAACATGCGCCTGTATGAGGACATGCCCGACCTAAAGACAGTCCTTTGCTGCTCCAGCGGCCGGAAACGGGACTCCACCAGCGGCCAGAAGCGTGGACAACGCAGGTGTTTTGCGAGCTGCCGTGATGCCAGAAGCTTGCCCGCCTCCCTCCGCAAAATCGGCCCCTCGGACTTCCCCCGGGGTGCGCTCTGGCCAGAGCTGCGAAGTGGGACCAGCGTCGTGGCTGCGTGGGCGGGCCCGGGGAGAGGCCAGGAAAGGCCCGCAAGCGTGCAGAGCACCTCGGCCCGATCCTCGATCCGACGGCGGCGAAGACGGCGGCGGCGACGACGACGACGGCGACGGCGACGGCGGCGGCAGCGGTGACAACGACGACGGACGACGACCACGCCGACGGCGGCGGACGACGGAACCCTCGGCCCCCGATCCGACGACGGAGACGGGGACGACAGCGACGAGGAGAGGAGGGCGACGGGAGCAGGGCCCCAGACGAGGAGAAGAGGGAGGAGATGAGAAGGACGATGAGAGGAAGAGGAGGAGCAGGAGCAGGGGGATGGAGAAGAGGACAGGCACCGACGACGACGACGACGACGACGGCGAGGGCGGCGATAACAGCAGTGATGACGCAGCTGGCCTCCACGGGCTCATCAATCCCCGCAGCTCCGCCAGGCCGCGCAGGCTGCTCCTTCCCGGGAAGCGGCAGAACGTCGTCGTCGGTGGTCTTCTCCCTTCTCCTCCTCCTCCTCCTTCTCCTCCTCCCCACCCTCCTTCCCTTCATGGTCCTCCTCCTCCTCCTCCTCCTCCTCCTCCTCTCCCTCCTCCTCCTCCTCCTCCTCCTCCTCCTCCTCCTTCTCCTCCTCCTCCGGCGCCGCGACGCATCAAGGCCTGGGGACGCTCGGCGTTTTCTTCGAGCAGCGCACATACTGTCCGTGCATGTTCTATGGCTCCGTCGTCCCTTCGGCCACGCGTGCTGCCACGGCCGCCACCGAGCCCAGACCTCAGACGACCCGACCCCCCTCGGGGGCCCGAGAGGGGCGCACGACCTCCCGCGCAGCAGCTCCTGGGCCGCCCCACGAGGCCTGCCGCCACCAAGCCCGCCGCGGAACGAGGAGTCGCTGCCGCCGCCGCCGCCGTCGTCGCCGCCGTCGTCGTCGTCGTCGTCGTCGTCGTCGTCGTCGTCGTCGTCGCTGCATCAGCCGTGTCGTCGGTCGTCAGTCGTCGGTCGTGGGTCGTCGTCGTCGTCGTCGTCGTCGTCGTCGCTGCATCAGCCGTGTCGTCGGTCGTCGGTCGTCGGTCGTCGGTCGTCGGTCGTGGGTCGTCGTCGTCGTCGTCGTCGTCGTCGTCGCTGCATCAGCCGTGCGCGGGCTCCACCGCTGGCCCAGCTGCCGGCACCTCTGCGTGCGCGCCGCCGGGCGCCGCCTCGCGGGCGCGCGGCTCCCGTGCCGGCCGCTCGCCGCGCTCGTCGCCGGCGCTCTCCGGCAGCGCCCCGCCGCCGCCGGCGGCGGGCTCCGCACCGCCGCGGTCGGCGGCCCCACGGGCCGGAGGCTGCGGCTCGAAGCGCAGGGCCACCCAGTGCCCGAGCGCGTCGGGGGTGACCTGGCCTCAGCTGGGGGCTCGGCCGTGCGGCTCGCTTTGGATCCGACCGGGCACGGAGGAGAGCGGGGTTCGGCTCGGCGGCGGCAATCTCGGCGCCAAGCTCGGCGGCGGCAGGCTCGGCGGCGGCGGCCGCGCGAGACGGCGGCGGCAGACTCGGCGGCGGCGGCGGGCTCGGCGGCCCAGTGCCCGAGCACGTCTGGAGTGACCTGGCCTTAGAGGCTCCGCCGTGCGACTCGCTTTGGATCGGACTGGGCACGGAGAGAACGGGGATGCAGACCGACAGGGTTTGCTGTCTGTGTCGCCGCGGGCGTTGCCCGTTTGAGACGGAACGTCGCCTGCCCATCAGCGGCCGCCCTCGGTCTTGGACAGCATGCGCTGCTGGGCATCGTACCATCGTGCCCGTTTCTTCCGTACCCATGCCAGGCATGCCAACCGGCTCCGGACACTCCGGCGTCGTGGTCTTCTCCACCGGGCCGCCCCTTGAGCTCCCGACCGCCTCCCTGGGGCTGGGCCGTCATGCCTGGTCGTCCTTTGATAGCCCCGCAGGGCCCAGGAGGAGGAGGAGGAGGAGGAGGAAGAGGAGGAGGATGAGGAGGAGGAGGGGGAGGAGGAGGAGGAGGAGGAGGAGGAGGAGGAGGAGGAGGAGGAGGAGGAGGAGGAGGAGGAGCAGGGGGAGGAGGAGGAGGAGGAGGAGGAGGAGGAGGAGGAGGAGGAGGGAGGAGGAGGAGGAGGAGGAGGAGGAGGAGGAGGAGGAGCACGAGCAGGAGGAGGAGGAGCAGGAGCAGGAGGAGGAGGAGGAGGAGGAGGGAGGAAGGGGATGATAACGATGATGAGGATTGGGATGAGGAGGAGGATGAGGAGGAGTAGGAGGAGTAGACAGGAGGAGGAGGAGAAGGAGGAGGAGGAGGAGGAGGAGGAACCAGTGGCGATGCCAGGACCAGCCAGAAAACGGTGAACAAACACCTCAGGATCCGCGGGGGGCCGCTTGCCGGGGCGCCCGCCCGCCGGGGGGACGGCCGGGGGTTCGGCGAATTGTCAGGATCGGAGGCGACGATCGGGGCGAATAGCCCAGTGGCGGACATCACACCTCGCCGAAGACATGGACCGTCTGCGCCGATGGATGCATGCATTGCTCCCCCCAGCTGGGCTGAGTGGGGAGCCGAACTCTATACACCGACGCTTTTTCCGGCCCTGTACTGACATGTGCACACGAAATCGGATCCTGATATATACGGGACCCTGGTGTGTACATTTTCCGTTGTTTCCCCGGGAAGCGGATCAGCAAAGAATGCACCACACCACCCCGACGTCGTCCCCGTCCCTGAAAAGGTCCTGGGATTGAGAAACAGCCCGCCTCTAGTAATGTATCTGTTCCAGTTGCCGACTAACTCCGCCCCTGTCTCGGGGGTTTGCATAGCGGGGTTGAGTGTGACCTGGTCTAGTGATGCGCAACGGGGGATGCCCCCCCTCAGTCCACTAAACTGAGCTGCCGCCACCCGAAAAACACCAGCTACGGCAGACCTGGTTCAGTGATTCCAATCCTTACTTTGGACCTCGGGGCCGAACCACTAACTGGCTCCTCGTAACCAGGGTCCTGGCTACACCCCGACTGTCGTGGCCCCTACATGGACCCGTGGCGAAGAGGCACAGCCGCCAGACGTCTACAGGGGGATTTTCGTCGAAAAATAAAAAATACCCCGCAATACCCCCCCAAAGGCAACAAAAATACCCAAAAAAAATCCCGGGACTATTTTTGGACTATTTCCTAGGGTATTTTAAATTTTTCGTAGAAAATCCCGCTGTAGGGGGACAGGCCCGACTTAATCGTCGCCCCGACATGAAGGACTCGTGGCGAAGAGGGCAGGCGCCGGACGTCGCCAGCGCCCTCTGCGGGCCGCCGGGCCCGCGGCCCGCGGGCTCGAAGACAAGCAGCCCGCAGGTCTGCGTCTCCCGCGCGTCCCGCGTGGGGCTCTGCCACCACCGCGGCGGCTCGGAGCCGTCGGCGGGGGGGCTCGCCTGGCGTGGGCGAGGGGGAGGAGGAGGGGGGGGAGGAGGTAAGAGGTCAAGCTAGGTGCGCTCGCGTCATATCTGACATCCTACTCCTCCCTCCCATCCCTTACCATGGCGTAGATCCCCTCTCTACTCGCACAGTCGGATGTCGAGCAGGGCAATGATCCCGAAAGGGTACGCGATGCATTGTAGAGCACGGCATGGCATGGCGTAGAAGAGCACCGCAAAGCGTAGTATCAACCTGGCATTGCATTGCATGCCGTGGCATGGCACGGGACATGACGCCAGCGCTGCAGCGGGAGCACGAGTCGAAACGAGCGGAAGCGCGGAAATGAGACCAACGCTGCAGCGGGAGCACGATTCGGAACGAGCGGAAGCACGGAAATGAGGCCAGCGCTGCAGCGGGAGCACGATTCGGAACGAGCGGGGCCCGAAAATGAGGCCCGCGCCTCAGCGAGAGCAGCATTTCGGAAACAAATGCAAGCGAAAACCTAACTCCGGGGAATCCTGTGTGTAAAAAACAGTACGCGGGGCGGGGGGGGGGCATATACTTTCAAACCGTCATCAGGGGAAGAGGGAGAGTAGTATTCATATTGAGTAATTGTAGAGGTAGAGGTGGAGGCAGAGGTAGAGGAGGAGGAGGAGGAGGAGGAGGAGGAGGAGGAGGAGGAGGAGGAGGAATGGGAGGAGGAGGAGGAGGAGGAGGAGGAGGCGGAGGAGGAGGCGGCGGAGGAGGAGCCGTCGCCGCGGTGGCTCGCCTGGCGCGGGCAGCAGTCGGGTCGAGCGAGAGGGGGCCTGGACCTCCGACGCCTCGAGACGCTTCGCGCGGATTCGCTTCGCCGCTCTTGGCCTCGGGGGGGGGGCCGTCGCCGGGCCATGGGCGCACAGCCGGTCCGGGGCCGCCGCCGGGCCCTGGGAACCGCCGGTCCGGGGGGGAGGGGCCGAGCCCTCCGCGGGCCCACGCATGCGACACAGACCGCGACGTCGGGAGGGGCTGCAGAGCGGGGGGGGGTCCAGGAATCCGCCTGCGCAGCGCTGGTCTTTCTGGGGCCCCCCGGTAGCCTCGGGCGCCAACACATCGAGGAAGGGTCTCCCCATGAGCTCCAGACCCCCTCCCTGGGGGACACTTTTTCACCCCGTATCCATATTGTTGACGGCCCTGGGGTCCAGAGCATGAATGACAGAAAACGCCAGGATTGGAAAAACAGGTCGTCCGCTATCTGGGGGCGGAGACCCTCTTTCAGATCCGACGTCGTCAAACGAAAACAGCATCGCGAGGGATCGCGATGGGAGCCCCAAGAAGCCCCACCTGCCTGCAGCCTGCAAGAGCCCTGGGGCCCGAAGCCGGGCGACAACACGCCCAGCAAGAAGAAGACAGCACGCCCCGAAAGAGACGGGCCCTGGACCCGGGGCCTTCCCGAAGGACTGGCCTTTCGACTTGAGCTGCTCCTTGACCGGAGGGCCCCGAGAGGCCGAACGCCGCCAAAGCCTCAGGGCCCGGTCCCCTCGGGGCTGGGCCCGGCTGCTTCGTGGCGCCACGGCGCGGCGACGCCCGCCGTCTGGACCTTCCGAGTGGCACGACGCCCGCCACAGGCACGGACCAACGGGCTCTGGTGCGCGAGAGAGCGGGCGGGGCAGGAGGGGAGGGGCCAGACAGGTGACCATGCAGAGAGGGCGCACGCCTTGAGCAGAGCAGGCAGAAAGGTCGATCTGCCGCGACGTCTTCTCGAGCACGAGTGAGCGCGGCGTGAGAACGGTGCCTGACCTGACCCTTCACGCGCCGCGGAGGGGGCACACGAGCACCGCCCGAACAGATCGAACCTTGAACCTGAAGCTTGAAGGGGGAACAGGGTGGGGAGCCTAAACAACTTTATGGGGTACTAACCAGCCTCGAACTTATCCCTATCCCTGAGATTGACACGCCACAAGGAGATGACAATCGTAGGGATGTACCCTCAGAAGCTGAGGAAATCCCTAAGATCGCCATCGTGACGAGGCGATGCCCAACATAGGGATAAGGGATAGGCTTCGGGCTGGTACGTTACAGGCTGGCCACGGTGCCCTCTTGTATGTGGCTCGGAGGCCGCGAAGGGCACCGTAGGGAAAACGTGCGCGCGGCCCTCGCAGACTACCCCGACGCAGTCCCGACACAGGGCTCGCACAGAGAAACACATGAGATGGACACCTGCCGTACGATGCCCATGAACACATGTTGTCCAACAACTGGCAGCAAAGGTTGCTGGGCAGGCGGAATGTTGTCTCCGTTGGACCACGTCCGCGGCGACACCCGCAACGCGTCGTTCAAAATGGGCAGGGAGTGCTGTCGGTTTGCGTCCCCGTTCTCTGGTCAGATACGAACGTACTCCAACCCTTTGGGACCGGACCTAAGTTGAGAGGCCCAAGACATTAGAGATATGGGGTCCCTACTGCAGATGCACCAGACCCTATCACCCAGAACTACTACACCTAAAATCAATGAGGCCACGCCTCCCTGGTGCTATTAGATGTAGGGGTCCTTTTATTCTCGATGATTCTCTCCGTGCTGATTTCTCTGGGGCGGCCAGGAGGGGGGCGTCCAATGAGGGGGGGTTCAAATGATGGCTGGCGGCATGTGCGCGGCCCAAGGGGGGGCCAGGGACGTAATGAAATAAGAAGAGGCGCCATGAGATCCGGGGGAATATCATGGCCCCCGCCATGATATCCACCCCCCTAATCATCGCCCCCCTCTTTGCCGCCCTCGAGATTTCAATAGTGCCGGTATGCCGTGGCGCGCCGGAAAACCCGGCCAGCGGAAACGGCGGACGACCTCAGCACAGCGGGGTGGCTCGCCTGTCCCGGCGCCAGGCGCTCCGGCACGCGCTCCAGCTCGAGGCCCTGGGCCGACAGCACCGCGGCCAGGCGGAACGCCGCGTCCTCGTCCTCCTGGAGGGGGAAGGAGGAGGAGGAGGAGGAGGAGGAGGAGGAGGAGGAGGAGGAGGAGGAGGAGGAGGAGGAGGAGGAGGACTAGGACTAGGGCGGTGGACGCCTCCGTGTAGGCACGTCCAATGAAGGAGGAGGGGGAGGAGGAGGAAGCGGAGAAGTCAGGAATACCCCAACTTCAGCGAACGTAAGTGCAGTGCTTGGCGACACCACTCGAACTCGCAAGACAGGAACTGCGCAGCCAACCTTTGGCCTTCGGGAGCTTCGGCTTCCTAGCTGGTCCTTCGAGAACCGTGGCCGCAGCTCTCGCGGGCTCGCCGCCACTGGGAGCTCGCGCCTGCGCGGCGGGCGCGAGAGGAACTCGCCCCTGCAGGCCGCGGTCGCGGGCGCCGAGGACATCTCCGGGAGGCCCCGAAGAGAGCACCAGGGCCCAGAGGGCGCTTGGGCCGGGCGCCCCCGTCATCGTCGCAGACCCGGGGGCGCTCCGCGTCAAGCGCCAAGGCGGCGCCCATGGCCGCGACGACTCGAGCGGCTCGAGCGAGGCAGGAGCAGCGCGCGCCGGCCTGTCGCGGGTGCGCCGGGCCGCCGCACCTCGCGCGCGCGGGAGTCGCGGACCTCCGCCTCTGCCGGCCGGGGCTCTCTGAGCGACAGGGTGCCCGAAGCTCAGCAGAGGGTTACGTTGCTCCCATCGTGCCTGAGGACCACATCCCAGAAATCATCTCGAGCACCTGGACAAGTGTTGAAGGAGTGTCGAACCGGTGTCGGACGAGTGTCTCCCAGGGCCCGAGGCGTGACAACCCTCGCGTTTCGGTACTTTTTTGGTGCTCGAGATTCTTTTTGGTGATCAAGGAAAAGCAGGTTGGAACATCGTAAGTCCAGACCACTTCCCCCAGACCACTTCCCTGGGGCGGGTTTTTCGTCCTGAGTCGTTGCTTGACGCACCCGAGGCCCGGCGAGGGCCCCTGGAGGCCGAAAGGGGGAACATCCTAAGCAGAGGGGCCTCTGGTTGGAACATCATAAGCAGAAGGGGCCCCTGGGAGGCCTGGCGTGGGCCCCCCCCTGGTTGGAACATCATGGGCAGAAGGGGGTCCCTGGGAGGCCTGGCGAGGGGCCCCCGGTTGGAACATCATGGGCAGAGGGGGGCGGCCCAGGGGCGCGAAGCCCGTGGAGGTCGACGGGAAGGGCCTCGGGCCTCCGCCCGACCACGCCCGGCACGAAGGGTGCGCGCCTCGACGTGCCACCTGCGGGCTGGAAGACGAGACTTCTGTTGCTCCCAGCGTACTCAAGGGCCACATCCCAGAAATAATTTGGTCCCAAGATAGCCCAAGAGGGCCCCAAGACGGCCCAGCAGGCGTCCAAGACGGCCCAAGAGGGCCCCGAAGACGGCCCCAAGAGCGCTCCAGGAGCGCCCCAAGTGGCCTCCAAGAGAGCTCCATATGGTCCCAGACGGTCCAAGAGCGATCAAAGACACCGAAGATGGCCTCCAGACGGCCCAAGATGCCCCCAAGAGGCATCTTAGATGCGTCCCAAGAGGGCCTTTAGACGCAAAATCCCACCAGCCCTTTGGGCGTGAGTGGTTTAGCGAGCTCTCTCTGTTCTCAACCCCCCAACCCCCCTTCTTCCCCTTCGGGGAGGGGTTTACCCCTCCCCCTGCCCCCTCCCCCTGGGCCTGGAGAGGGAGTCCCGCGGGTGGTCAGGGGGGTCTTTTTCGACGCCTGGGAGGGCCAAAAAACGACTACCCTCACGAGGATTCTGGCCCCGACGGGGGGACCCTCTTGTAGCCCCCTCCTCTTCTGTGAAGCCAAAATCATTGCTTTTACGAGGGTTTTGGCCCCATTTTTGCGCCTTCCCAAGAGGCCCCAAGAGGCCGCGCCTCCCAAGATGGCCCCAAGAGGCCCCCAAGAGGCCCCCAAGAGGCCCCCAGAGGCCCCAAGAGGCCCCCAAGAGGCCCCCAAGAGGCCCCCAAGAGGCCCCCAAGAGGCCCCAAGAGGCTCCAAGAGGCCGCCAAGAGGCCCCACGAGGAGCCCGAACGACTCACACCAGGACGAGGGGCCCGAACGACTCATACCACGAAGAACCCGAACGACTCACGCCAGAAGGAGGACCCCGAACGACTCCTACCAGGACGAGGCGCGCGACCCATTCACACCACGAGGAGCCCGAGCGACTCACACCACGACGCGCGCCTCGAACGACTCACACCACGAGGAGCCCGAACGAGTCACACCAGGAGGAGGGGCAGCGCCCAGACAAGCCCCCCAAGAGGGCCCCCAGAGGTCCACCATATGGCCCCAAGAGGTCCCCAGATGGGCCACAAGAGATCCCCAGGAGGCACCACGACGCCTCCAGGAGGTCCCACAGATACCCCCAAGAGGTCCCCAAGATGCGCCAAGAGGCGCCGAAGACGCCCCAAGAGGCCTCCGAGCAGCTTCCAAAAGACATCTACTACTACCCTTTCCCCTACGATTACTACTACTTGTACTTCTACTACTACTCATACTCGTTGCACTACATACTGGAAATACCACTACTACTACTACTACTACTACTACTACTACTACTACTACTACTACTACTACTACTACTACCACTACTACTACTACTACTACTACTACTACTACTACTACTACTACTACTACTACTACTACTACTACTAGTACTAATACTACTACTACTACTACTACTACTACTACTACTACTACTACTACTACTACTACTACTACTACTACTACTACTACTACTACTACGACTACTACTACTACTACGACTACTACTACACTACTATTACTACTACTACTACTACTACTACTACTACTACTACTACTACTACTACTACTACTACTACTACTACTACTACTACTACTACTACTACTACTACCACTACTACTACTACTACTACTACTACTACTACTACTACTACTACTACTACTACTACTACTACTACTACTACTACTACTACTTCTACTACTACTACTACTACTACTACTACTACTACTACTACTACTACTACTACTACTACTACTACTACTACTACTACTACTACTACTACTACTACTACTACTACTACTACTACTACTACTACTACTACTACTACTACTACTACTCTACTACTACTACTACTACTACTACTACTACTACTACTACTACGACTACGACTACGACTACGACTACGACTACGACTACGACTACGACTACGACTACTACTACTACTACTACTACTACTACTACTACTACTACTGCTACTACCACTACCAGTACTACAACTGATCCTACTGGTACTACTTCTACTACTACGACTAGGAGCCGAAGAGGAGGAAGAGGAGGAGGGAGAGAAGGCGATGGGAGGCAAGACAGAAGGCGGTCGTTCACCAGTCTTACACGTAACCGACTCTGTCGACTCACACGACGGCGACGTCCTGGACCAGAATGCATGTGGTGTGCGTCGTTGGGGCCCCTCGCCCTGGTGTGAGTCGTTCGGGCTCTTCCTTGTGTGAGTCGTTCGGGCCCCTCGCCGAACGACTCACACATCGAGGAGGGGCCCGAACGACTCTGTCCAGGAGGGGGGACCCGAACTACTCACACCAGGAGGAGGGGCCCGAACGACTCACACCACGAAGAGCCCGAACGACTCACACCACAAGGAGGAGCCCGAACGACTCATACCAGGACGAGGCGCCCGACCCATTCACACCACGAGGAGCCCGAACGACTCACACCACGACGCGGGCCTCGAACGACTCACACCAGGACGAGGCGCCCGACCCAGTCACACCACGAGGAGCCCGAACGACTCACACCACGTCGCGGGCCTCGAACGACTCACACCACGAGGAGCCCGAACGAGTCACACCAGGAGGAGGGGCAGCGCTCATACAAGCCTCCCAAGAAGGCCCCCAGAGGTCCACCATATGGCCCCAAGAGGTCCCCAGATGGCCCACAAGAAGTCCCCAGGAGGCACCACGACGCCTCCATGAGGCCCCAAAGATACCCCCAAGAGGTCCCCAAGAGGCCCCAAAGAGGCCCCAAGACGCCCCCAAGCAGCCCCCAAGGGGCCCCACGAGGAGCCCGAACGACTCACATCAGGACGAGGGGCCCAAACGACTCACGCCACGAAGAGGCCGAACGACTCACACCACAAGAAGGGGCCCGAACGACTCACACCAAGACGATGCGCCCGAACGACTCACACCACGAGAAACCCGAAGGACTCACACCACGACGCGGGCCCCGAACGACTCACACCACGAGGAGCCCAAACGAGTCACACCAGGAGGGGGAGCCTGAACGACTCACACCAGGACGACGGGCCCGAACAACTCACACCACGAGCGCCCGAACGACTCACACCAGGACGAAGAGCCCGAACGACTCACACAACGAAGAGCCCGAACGACTCACACCAGGAAAACGGACCGAACGACTCAGACCAGGACGAGAAACCCCAAACGACTCAAACCACGAGGAGCGCTTTCTCTCCCTCCTCCTTCGCCTCGTCCTTCTCCCGCTCCCCCCACAAAGAGGAACAGGGGAGATATGCGGGGCCAAGCGGGCACACGCCTGAAAAACACCACTGTCGGCACGCTTCGCAAGAGTTGCTGTTGTGAGATGGGCTGGTGGGGATACGCGAAGCGTAAAGAATTTGGCCCGTTCCCTTCGTAAAACGTACATTTTTCACACATTCGCCTTTGGGGCTTTCCGACGCTCCCAGACGGCCCAAGAGGCCCCAAAGACCGCCCCAAGACGGTCGAAGAAGCCTCCAAGAGGGCCCCAAGACAGCCCAAGAGGGCGCCAAGACGGCTCAAGAGGCGCCGAAGACGGCCCAAGAGAGCCCCGAAGACGGCCCCAAGAGCGCTCCAGGAGCGCTCCAAGTGGCTTCCAAGAGAGCTCAACATGGTCCCACACGGTCCAAGAGCGATCGAAGACACCCGAGATGGCCTCCAGATGGCCCAAGACGCCCCCAAGAGGCCTCCCAGATGCGTCCCAAGAGGGTCCCCAGACGCAAC